AGCAATGCGGCGGGGTGGGGGGTGGGGATAATGACCAAAATCTTTCTGGGCTATAAAAACTTTCATTCATACCAAAGAGGAAAAGGGTGTTCTTTAATTAATTTTATTACAAACATAAGGAACCCCGAGGCAATAAAAATCTGGAATACTCTGAAACATAATATAAATGCTAATTCGCCTTATTAATAATGATTGTAACAAATTATGCCTAGACACCTTTTTAAACCAAGAACTGGGCTCCCATGATAGCTCGCAAACATTTAAATTAAATAATATTAATAAACTAACAAGGTGTAGCATTATTAGCAGGGGTAACATGTGGGGAAAAAAACCCCTACAGGATGAGAGTCTATGACTTATTTAGACAATTCCCCCCCTTCCCCTCGCAGCATGGTTGGGTCCAACCACACACAATTGCCCCTTCCCTTCCCCGAGGGATAGTACAAGCCTCCTATTTAAATTGTAACGGTGTTTTTTAGAGCCTCGCTTCCAGCCATCAGGCCGAAGCGGCTTGTCTCATCAATTCTCTCAATAGGTCGGCAATATCCCCCCGGCCTCTTTCCAGAGCCGCTTGAATAGACTCCCATTTTACCTAACTGGAAGTCACAGCTTTCCTAGACAATGGTGCATTCCAACCTCTCCCCTCCCCGTCATGGTACAGCCTAAAAATTCCACCCCCTACCCGATTCGCGTAATGGTATATCTTAGTGGATGGAACGCGTCAGATGACTGTCATTAAATGGATAAAATCTTGATTCCCCCCCCCCTTTCCTTACGAGGGAATGGCCCATCCATGCATCCCCCTTTTATTTCGCATGGTTTACTCCAGCCTCACCCCTCTTTGTAAGGATCGGCCCCGCCCCCTATGCAACTGGTACTGAATGGCTCAGTCCACCCACTCTTTTTCCCATTGTAGTTACTGGGCGGGTCTCGTAATGGCACTATCTGCCCATTTCCCTCCCCTATTTAAGCTTCCCAATGGAAAAGTCTTAGGGGGCCCTACCATAGATACCGTCCTCCATGACGACCAGAGTGCCCCCAAACAGGGCCAAAGGGAACCCCAGTTTCTCCTTGTCTCCTTTCTTCGGGGCTTCAACAGCTATGCCTTCCTTCGGCAGCCTGGTTCTATACTGAAAGGAACATTCCTCCCCTCATGAAAAGCGTAGCCAATAGGAAAGAAGAATATGGAGAGCAACCACCTGACAGCTAGGAGAAGGAGCCAATAGAAATGGGAGGACGTCCTCCTAATTTACATGTACACTCGTAGCAGCCAATAGGCATCCTCGGCACGATATTGACAGCGGAGTATTGCAATAAAATCTTACAATGGCCCACCCGATCATTTTCGTGGCTTTGCAGTCGACGCTGTACTTTGAGCCGTTCCATTCTGTGCGCGTCTCAACAAAGATATAGCAAATGTATAGAGAAATTATTCAATTGACTGCGGAAGGATTTTTTTCATTCCGATCCAAACTGCACCAACTCCTGCTGTTGCTACTGTATTTCGTTTCCAGTTATTCTAAGCTATTCTGAGTTTTGTTTCTGTCCAGGAAAGACAAATGATTTTCCAATCTAGTCCAGAGGTTGGCGGTGTCTAAGATTTGTACGTTTATGAACTCCGAACATCTAAGCGTCACCTTTCGAGTTCCGCCTTCCTTGCGTAACTGTCAATCAGGATGAGTGAACCAAAAGCAACCCAATGGAGTCTGCCTACCGTATACGGGCTGCAAAAATCCTGCTCATCAGGAGATGCGGCAAAGGGCAGGGTTTTCCACCCTGGGCCACTAAGGTGCGTGGAGTTCAGTTCCCAGAATATGCCGGCTGGGGAATTCTGGGAGTTGAAATCCACACCTCTTAAAGTTGCCCAGGTTGAAAAACATTGAGTTAGAGCTGTCTCCTTGCTGCCATCTTGTGGTCAGCTGGAAATTTGCAGGCCAGGTATAGTAGGCCTGCCAGAGACATCGAGCTCATGTCTCCGTGACCACTCACCAGGGAACTACTTTTAGATGCCACATCGGTGTGACATTGCCTTTATCTCATCCCCACCTTTGGCTGAGATGCCTTAAAACCATCTTTAGCTGTTCTGGTTTTAAAATAGCGCTTTTCCTTTTCTCTGGACACAACGGTTGCCGTGGACACGACTGAGCACATGTCATCACTTTTATACCCAGGTTGAGTGCGAGCGCTAGACGTGTGTTTACCAAATTGAACACAAAGTACAAAGTTGAGTTTCACCCCCGAGAAAGAGACAGGCACTTCCAGTTGTTGGTTCTGCTCCCAGTGAGCGCGTTACAGGTAGTCCTCATTCAGCGACCATTTGTTCAGCGGCCGTTCAAAGTTACAACGGTGCTGAATGAGGGGACTTACGACTGTTCCTTGTAGTTACAGTCGTCGCAGCATCCCCACAGTCACATGGTTGCGATTTGGGTGCTTGGCAACTGGCTCACAGTTACGACATTGCAGTGTCCCACAGTCACATGATCGCCATTTGCGACCTTCACTGCTGGCTTCTGACAGGCGAAGCCAGCAGGAGGTTGCAAATGGCAACCACGTGACTGTGGGACTCTGCGACTGCGCGGGATTCGCCTAAAGACGGCCACTGGAACTGCTGCACCTGCCGTAGTAAGTCATGTGACATTGTGCTTTACGACCGCATCATATAGTAACGGCGTTCCTGATCCCAATTACCATTGTTAAGCGAGGATTACCTGTGTAGGGTTGCTGCTGTTTTCACCAAAAAGAACTATCACTGTTGGGGAAGGAGCACCATGTTTTGTCTACTTCACAGGCTCTTTCTGGAGGCTGCTGGTCGTGGCCATTGCAGCCAGAGCTGCTATCCCCTTGCAGGATCAGTCAAGGACAGAGCTTGCTCATTATCACTTGCTCCCTCCCTTGTGTCACCCTGCATTGCTCAGCAGGCCTGTGATCTGTGACACGGCCTGCTTTCGGACATGGGTTTAGCTCTATTTCAGAACAGCGCTAGACCCATGTTCCGAAATAGCTCATTTGACAGGTGAGTGTCGCGGAGACCTTCTGCTCCTGTCGTCTGACCATTTGGTTGGTGGCTAAACTGCCATTCCAAGTACCTGCCTCCACTTGTCCCACATCATCCCCACATATTAGGGAGAGCAATTGGGGAAGCAAAGCCAGGGCTTTCTTTGACTCCTCCTGTGTTAAAACTAAGGGTGGCCCCATTTGCTGGCTTTGTAGCTAGTGCAGAATAGGGCTTGGTTGTCAGGGCAGAACATTTCTTGCTGGCATCTTTTCTGCTGATGGAAGGTTTGCCCTTTAACACAGCCATTTGGCTGTGCTGGTAGAAAGTTATTTTGCTGGCCTCAGAAGCAGACAAGGAAGGGAGGAGCAGGCTGTTTCTTGTATCCTTACCTGGTAATTCACTTAAGGACCTCTTACTAATTAGTAGGTGCAGCAATCTTTGTAAAGCCAGCAGAAAATTGTCTGTTATCTCACTTAGGTACTTAATTGCCACTTAGAAGAAGTTGAATGCCAGATAGGGAGAATTGTTTATTGGTTTACATGTATTTGTTTCATTTAAGAGAAACCACCTCTCCCAAATAAGAATTTGGTAACAATCCTTCTGAGCAGCCCTTTTTAGGATTACAAGGAAAATAGTTTGCCAGGTAAGGCTTTAGCAGTCACTCTTAATCTTACCTGTTGTATTAGGATGGCAAAGATACAGACGCTAATCTGATGCTTGGCCCCTCAGAAAGTGTTATATGGACATCCTGGGAGCTGAAGTCCAATACACCTAGAGTAGGGAACTCTACACTGAACCATATGCTTTTAGGTATCTTTATTATATCTGGCAGCAAAAATCCAGACAATCATTAGAAGGCAGCAAAGGGATACAGAATTCTGCAACTCTTTGCTGCCATCTAATGATGCTTTGAATTTATGCAGCACAGGAGTGGATCTAACGTTCCTCGTGAACTGTAAAAGTGAGATGCCCCAGTCACAGGGATATATGCAGTTGTAACTCAGGATCACATTTCATACATTTCTTTAATGCCTGGATAAACTTAAAGAATTCAAAGAAGCAGTTACCGACTTACAGTCTGGGTGAAATATCTGTTGGGTCACAAAGTGTTAGAAGTAACTGAACAAGTCTACAACAAAATGCTTGGATGTGTAGTGTACAATGTTTCTTACTTGTTCAGATGTCACAGGACTGAGTTAGCTTTACAAGAGTCTGTCATATCTAAAAAAGAAACCCAAAGGCAGTGCTGTTGCAGGCTTGCAATTCCAGTAATGGACAGTAGAGAGTGGGATTGGATCATCTCTCTTGAAGTCTCCATTCCTTCTGCCAGAATTCCCTCAAAGGAATGAATGAGGTGACAATAGACTGCTGTGGGTGGTTGTCATAGGGGCACTGATATTGCTGAGAAAGAACTGGCTCTCTAAGATAGCAGAGTGTGTGAGTGTTGACTTTTGAGCCTGAGGCAGGCCAGGATGAGGGGTCATTTATGAATCACCTATTTCAAACAAATTACTCTGTGTGGATGCTGATCAGTTGGCCAGTGATGGATTTAGTGCTAACACAGAACAGAGACAGAGCAAATCCCTGCTTGTTTCCACGGCCCATTTCCAGTAAACCTTAATTGTTTTCAAGTGTTCATGAAGCTTCTTGGAGCTGAGATACAGTTTGCTGTATCCTTTTTCTTAAGCATCTGTATCTTTCCTCAGTTCGTTCACAAGCATTCTTCAAACTCAGTTTACCTGAAAGATTAAAAGAGGAGAAGAAGAGCTCCCATAAGGCTTTACCTTCCTTTGGTGCTCCCAGGTGCTAGGTGTTTGGGCTGGACAAGGGCCTGATCAATACATTTCGCCACTTCCCCTTTGCAAACTGGACGAAGTTCACTTTCACCTTTGCATAAATGCTAGACAACCCTAATATTGTTATATGGGAGGTTGTTGGAGCAAAGAAGTAAAGTGGCTTGGAGAACATGAACACTCGGGAGAACATGAGCAGCAGAGATGCAAGAAATTGGCTGTTCACAGCCTCTGTGTAGTGATGGGTATCAGTTTTTAGGGTTTGATTGGAAGTGTTAGTGTTACTTTTTTCTCTGGGTCCCCAAAGTAAGTTAGGGGCTGGGAATCAAGGGGACTGAGTGCTTTCTGGTTGGCTTTAATTGTTGCCATTTTCACTTCTACTTTTCCCCAACTTACCCCTAGGTTGACTGGGCACCATTCTTCCTCCATTGGGCTTCAGGAGGCTTCATCTTTTAGTTGGCACTCTTCTGTTTCCCAGCTCCATCCCTTCATCCCCTACATGTGAACCTCAAGAGAGTGGCTATCAGCTGCCCAGTACAAATGCCCCTTTTATTCAAAGGTTAAGCTAGTCTTGTGTATTTTCATTTGTGACATTTAAAGTAGCGTTTACACAGCATAGGTTTCAGAGTTGTCACAAGTTAGAGCGGGACATGGCTTTGGTCAAGAAATGAACCAGATCCCTTCTTGTATGATGGACAAAAGAACTGGGACAAAAGTTTCCCTAAGAAATTTAGAACTGATACTAGTACATGGATCAAATCAGAGTATAACTGAGGAGACCTGGGTTCAAATCCCTATTTGGTTATTAAGCTTCCTTAAAGAGTTTGGGCTGCTTGCTTTCTTTCAGCCAACCTTACAAGGTTGATGTGATAATAAAGTGTGTGGTGGAATGAGGAGAGATGAGCCTTGAACTCCTTAAAGGAAAGGTAAGTTCTAGATGTAATAAAGAAATATGTTGGATCATATAATTAATAGCCAGTTATTGGTGTAAGAGGTAGCCCAAATCTGAGGCATCAGAAAAAAAATACAGGTAGGATCCTTCCCCATACACATGAACATATGATAAGATGATGATGATGATGATGACTGACAACTTATATTTCTATCATTGGATCTCCAGATTTTGCCCTTCAAGGTACACCAAGTATTCCTCCCTAGGGAAGAAGGAAGGGAATAAGCTGTGATGTTAAAGGTGAATGAAGTACAGATAGCTATTATTATGTGACTAGAAACACTAGAAGCAAAATTGGGATGAGATCTTAGCCAAAGGTTGGCTGGTCAAGATAGAGGACATCAGCAGAATGGGAGTAGCCACAGGTAGACGTTAGGTCACTTAGTAGAGAATGATGACAAAATAATGCATATTTGACCTCTGCCCCAATCTGGGGGTAACCTTCACATTTCAGTCTAAAATGTGCCCTAGGCCCAGAGATTAGAGACCCATGAGAGGATATTTTAGGCTTAAGGAGAATGCCTTATCACTTGAATTTGTCATCTGCTTATATTGGCTGATGAGGAGTTCTTGACATCCTGTCACATTATTGGCACCCAAATGAAGACTGTGTGTCAGTGCTTTGAGGTCCAGGCTGATAGGAGAGGAGTAAAAACTGTGAAGTGGCTACAGCCCAATCTGTTTGCATCTACCCCCTCCCCCCATGTCACTGGCATAAAACAAGATTAGTGATGGAACTGTGTCATATTAATCTGAGCTCCCAGCTGCAAATCCAATCTCAGCTCTCACCTCTCTGACCTTCAGCCTATGTTGCTACCATCCACCAGCTTGGGTAGCAGCTGTTTGTGTCAGGATTTTTCATAGCTCTGATATGCATCAAGCTTTGGGGAGCAGATGTTTAGACTGAGATTTTTAATGTGGTGCTGGGATAATCTTACTTTCTTTCCTTCCTCCCCAATCCATCCATCCTTCCTCCCCATCCATTCCTCAGAGTTGGCCATAGAGCAAGTAGATGGATGATGGGCACTGAGCTGACCAAAGCAGGAGAGAAAAAGTTTTGATCCAAGGGCCACGACTGTTTAAGACGTTTTCTTGTGTCTCACTGAAATGAATGGGAATACATTAGCAGAAGATGGAATATTGACTATTTTTGTTATCATTCATATCCAGCATAGATCCATGGGGAAGAGAGCAGAATACAACAGATTTGACTATAAATCTGTAGTTCTCTTGTTTGCCTTCCTCTCCTTTTAAAAATTAATTTTTAGAGTAGGCTGCAATTCATATCCATATTGATTTGAAAGTTTATATATATGTATTCCACAGGTCTGAAAAACTCATGTGGCCATAACAGGTTGCATTGCATTTTTTAAAGCAAACACTTGCTTTTGTTATTGATTATTCTGCATGCACTGTATGCAGTACACTACATTATCCGTTCTTATAAAGAAAGATTCCCTTTATTTCAAATATTATCACAATATGATTACCACAATAATAAACCTCCCAGCATGTGTGCTTGTTAAGAATTTCCAGTTACTTTTTCAGGACTATTAGAAAAGGTTTTCTCATCTGGGCTTGAGAAAGGGGTGTTTATGTTTAGGCTATTGCACTGTGGATATAACATTTCTATCTCAGTGCACCTAAAAAGAAATGCACCCCTCTAAACTCTGGAGAACAGCCTCCCTCTGCTGCATTTTCATTACAGACCAGACATATTCCGATTCTGTAGAGTTCCACTGACCCATCACTTCCACTGTTCACAGAATGCTTTTTCTCCATGTGCTTCATGGAGCTTCATACGTAAGACAGCTGCGGTGGGGCAGCCATCAGAAGAACATCCTCAAGCATCCTCTGATACAGCTTTCAAGCTCCGTACAATAAACATATAGATGATCCAACAGATTCCCATCTAACTACTGTAATCTTAATTCACATTACCATAAACATCAGATTATACATGGACTGTTTTGAGGCCCATGAAATAGGTATTCTTTCTCTCAGGTTTCCCTTGTGTTTAAATTTCCCCTTCCCCCTCACATACACATATATCTATAACCCCTTAACCCTCTTCAGAGACAAACGAAGCCTTCTGTTTGTTCCATGGTATTTCTTCTAGGAATGATCAAGCTGAGACCTTTGGCTTTGGGGGGACAGACAGTCAAAGTATGAAAATATGACCCTTTGGCCAATTATTTCAACAGCCCAACTATGGAAAGTCTGGTGATGGTGCTACCCCACCCTTCCTCAGCTCTCCTCAGTTCAGGGACATGGATCACGTCACGTGTTAGTGGCCATTTCATTCTCCACATTCACCCTCTGATTTTCCTGCCTTTCTTCTTCTTCCTCCTCTTCTTCTTCATGACAAGTGGCCAGTGCTACTTCATTCTCATAGCAGAAGGAAGAACGAGCAGCAGTGGTTCCAACAGGTGAGACCCTGTATTTACGTTGGCTTAGCTCCTTGGCACTGCATGCTGGGGTTCCAGGCACCTCATATGTACGATGGAAGTGCTGGTAATCAACCTCGTAGTGACCATGCCGTTCAAAGAGTACAGGTTCAAAGCGGTGTCCCCAGCGCAGTTCACTTGGCAGATAGGAGCTACGGCATTGAGTGGTCATTGCTGTAGCTTCTACCATACCTTCCAAAATGACCACCAGTTCAAAGTCAGCTTTTGCCAGCTCCATAGGACCATACTCATACAGAGGGCTTTCAGCATCAATCTCATGCACAATTGTCACAGGTGACACCAGAAAAATGCGGTCAGTGCCACTGTCAAAGCCCACATTAACATCACTGTGGTCCAGGGGAATGTACTCGCCTTCAGGGGTCACACGAGGCTGTGTGAAAAGGAGACAAGGGAAGAAGGAGAGATTATATATTAAACTGTATTTATTTATACAGCACAGGGTATAAAATCCATTCTATGGAGCCAATGGCGATTTCTGTGACTATGATTAGAAAAAATGCCACTGCAGTTGTTGACTCTCTCTGTGTACAGTCTAGATCACTCCAAGGTTTCATTACATGATTTTCATCTGGTGTGGAGAGTTTAAACAGCCTATCTGTATTTATGAATATGCTGTATGCCACTCAGAAACCAACCTTGTATTCATCATTTCTTCCAGATCCATCATAATTCAGTTTCTCACTCCTTGAACCCCTCTATTTGTCCATCCTGCAATGCATCCATTCATAAATTAGTATTTGTTGCTGTTGCTCTCAATCTTCCAGCCAGACATATCCCCTCTACATTTTTTCCCTAGGAGGATATCCAACTTGCTCTCCCACTCTCTTCCCAATCTAGATTTTTTTCATCCTTTCCTATGTATCTATCCAGGTACTACTTTAGTAATTCTAGAAGAATATATTTTAAAATTCCCCCAGATGTCTCACTGCCTTCCTCTCTGCTAGCCATAAGCTTTTCCTTACCTGCAGTAGCTGGGCACGGACATGGGCCTCTACCAGATGGCTCTTCCGCAGGTTAGCCACACGCCACATAAGGCAGAGCTTTCCATCACGCATGGCCACCACAGCAGTCTCGCTAAAAACAAGGGTCTCGTTGCGTTTCTTTGGCTTGGCTATCTTGGCCATAATTGCACCAATGATGAAGGCATCAATGATGCATCCCAGAATGCACTGCAGGACCACAGCCAGGACAGCAGATGGACATTCCTCTGTCACGCTACGGAAGCCATATCCAATGGACGTCTGTGTCTCCAAGGAGAAGAGGAAGGCGGCCATGAAACTGGTGACCTCGGAGAAGCAAGGCCTTGAGTTGGGTGGATGGTCAGGTGCAAGGTCTCCATGAAGTGCAGCAATGAGCCAGAAGGTGAAGCCAAAGAGAAGCCAGGAAAGCACAAAAGAAAGGCAGAAGATGACAAACATCCAGCGCCAGCGGATATCCACACATGTGGTGAAGAGATCAGTGAGATACCGCTGACCCTTTTCACTCATGTTAATAAACTGCACATTGCAGCGGCCATCCTTCCTCACAAAACGACTGCGTGGCTGGATGGTGACGAGCTTGCCATTGTGGCAGCTCTTGGGGGATTCCACTGACTCATCTTCTTGGAGTTCTCCTGTCCCGCCCCCGACACTGAAGTGGCGGATGACTTTGGCCACCCCCATCTCTGAAGTACGGGGCTTTGGCCTGGCCCAGCTGAGGTTGACTAGAGGGAATTGATGGCCCGGCTTGGGTACTGCACCAAACAAGCTGATATGGGGAGGTGTTAACAAGAGATACTATGGTGCAGAAGTTCCTTTTAAGTTTTTGTCCACCTGGAATTGGAAAGAGGAGACCAAGGATGCGATCAGTTTTTGTATGGTACTAATTCCTAAAAAAAAAAAAAGGTTCTTCATTTACTTCAATCCTTCCCTCCTTGGTTTTTCAAAGGAATGGTGGGAAGCTAAACCAAACGGAGAGGATTTTTCACTCAACGTTTTAGAGTCACTGAACATACCCTTTAGAAATGTATAGTCGGCTTACTTATTCAGTAACTAGAGTACTGCTCACCCATCTCAAAAGTTATTTACTCAGCTTATAGAACACTTCTAGTCTTAGATGGAGCATTTACTGCAGGTTCTCAAACTGTAGACCAGTGTTTCTCAACCTCGACAACTTTAAGAGGTGTGGACTTCAACTCCCAGAATTCCCCAGCCAGCATCCACACCTCTTAAAGTTGTCGAGGTTGAGAAACACTGCTGTAGACAGTTTTTTTTAACAGAGTGAGAGCCTGCTTTCTTTCAGCGTCTCAAAGTTTGCAGAATTTTGTTATGGTTTATGGTAATTTCAATCCTTAACTCATTTCTAACAAGAGAGGGGGACAGAAGTCAAACCTATATAGAAACCTACACTATTATGAGCCTCAGGGCAGAATGGAACTATTAGGTATAGAGGGGACAGCACATAGTGCGCTCTGCCATGTACAAGAGTGGACCTATGGCACAAAATGAGATTACAGTTCTGGAACCTGAACAGACAAAGCTACTTTTAATTGGACCTCATACAAAGATGTCATATATAAATGTATTTTAAACTGGCAAACGAGCCTCTGTGAAAAGTCCTGATTGCGTTGTGATTTTTAAAATGCTTCTACCGCAAATATTATGCTATAATATTGTGATTTGGGGATTTTTGTCTCCAGCAGCCAGATACTTGCAATTTTAAATCTCTTTTGGAGGACACACAGATCAAGTCAAGATGCCACAATGTTCAGGCTTATCCTATTTCTTTTCAGGAGGACGCAACTCACCTTGTTTTAGCAATCTTTTTTCACCTGTTTAGGGCACTGGGAGGTGGAATAGGAATCAAAAGGCTGATTTTCTACTACTTAATGGGGGTGGTTGCCTACTGGAGAATCAGTACACTCTCAGTCATTTCCCATTTGGGCTTCTATTGATTCTTCCGTCAGTGTATCCCTTAAAATCAATCGCTAGCTTTGCTAATATAACAACAGTCTTGTTTTTATTAATTTTCACTCTTGTGAGTCCCAGTTAGCACTAAAGACAAATTTGGAGTGTGTGTGTGTGTGTATTTGTCTATGGCTATCATGTGCTGACCTCATTAAGGCTGCAATTTTCTGCATGTTGGCCTGAGGATAAATCCCCGTAAATCATTGAGAGTTAGTGATGTAGGATCAAAGCAAAAGTCTTCCCAACATGTTCTTCATTCTGTTTTAGGACTGTCACAAATGATGTGTTGAGGATTCATTATCTCCAAGAATAAAATATTTTTCTCTCCTCAACTCCCCACCCTCACCCCCAAGTCTTCTTTGCTTAACATTTACGTTCTTGAACGATTTTGCTGAACTTGCAAGCTTGCTTACCAGTTCTTCTAAAGATATTATCCTTCTATTCAGTTTTATTTTTCTCTAACCGAACGGCTTGGCTATCTTTAATTTATACCTTCAACTACTTTCTAACAACAGTTGAAAAAAGCAAACATTCAGAAAATAGTGCATTCACCATCCCTTCCCATCCATACCTGAAAAGCTCCACATTTCTCTAGCTGTTAAAGACAAAGGCACCTCCCTGCTCCCTCCGCCATGCTGCCAAATTAACCACTACATGCTGACTTATAGCTTCAGTGAAAATGACTTTAAACCTCTTCTCACTTTCCATTTTTATTCAGCTGAATTACCTTCTGGGGGAAAAAAAAGAAGATTCCTATTTTTTCTCTCTGAGAAAGCTTCTCTACCAACTTGGTATAGCAGTTAAGGCAGCAGGCTAGAAACTGGGAGACTGTGAATTCTAGTCCTGCCGTAGGTACAAAGCCAGCTGGGTGACCTTGGGCCAGTCACTTTCTCTTAGCCCTAGGAAAGAGGCAATGGCAAACCACTTCCGAAAAACTAAGCCAAGAAAACTGCAGGGACTTTTCCAGACAGTCACCAGAGTCAACACTGACTTGAAGGCACAACATACACAAACACACACACACACACACACACACACACAGAGAGAGAGAGAGTGAGAGCGAGCGAGCGAGCTAAACAGCTATAGAATATAATTTGGGGAAGTTATTATTTTTTTTCTGGCATGCTGTTGAGATGATGAAAGTTTCCCCTGCAAAAACCTGTCCCAATTCTTAAGAGTGCAAGCATCCTTCATGGGGAAAAAAATAACATTTGGAAAGGGAGCTGTTTCTCTTCTAACATTAAATGTTCAAACAAAGAAACAAACTTCCTAACAGAATTAATTACTCCAAGAGATGGTGGACTTCCTTTCATGGATATGATCAAACAGAAGCTAGACAGCCATCACTCCAGGATGCATTAATTCATATTCCTGCACTGACCAGGAGGTTGGATGGGATGGCCCCTTCCAACTTTACAATTCCGATCCCTTATACTACCATTTACTCCAGTAGGTTTTCCATTGTATCCAGAGAGCTGATTTGTCCAGAAACACCATTCCCCTAACGCAGAGAACATACCTTTGTGGTGGAGCATGTCCTTTATATTCAGTTAAGTTCCGGGTTCAAACCCCAGCATCTCCAGATAGCATTGGGACCATCTGCCTACATCCCTGGAGAGCTGTTTTGCACCAATGAGTAGAGAATTCAGTATTTCTGAGTTCAGTGAACCAATGGTTTAACTCTGAAAAAGGCAGCTCCTACATTGCTTTCACTCCATTTCACCCTGTGCTTTCTTTTGTAAAAGAATACCAAGATAATTTTGGCAGGAAGTAGATTTCTTACCCTTTTTCACCTCCCTCTTCTACTGTACAAGGCTCTCTGGTGCACCTGGCATTTCTTGATTTCTCCTAGTAAGCTTTCCCCCCCTTCTTGAGAAGATGGCATCAGCTACAGAAAGCTTTCAAGCCCCCCAGGAATGCCTTTTACCTGGCTCCTGTTGCAGTCACAACCGTATGAGTCTAGAAAGGATGGCCTGAGTTAAGTGAGGGACATTTTGCTTATTTATCTGGAAGCCCAGGGTGTGGCCAGACCCATCAATAGGATTGGCTTCTTCCTCAAGAGTGAGGCCTTCAAAGTCTTCCAGCCAACAGTCTTTCAAAATGAATTGTTAATCCTTCAGGGCAAAGAAACCAGCCAAAGCCACATTCAACACCCTGAGGGGAAGAAGAATGCAACAGGAAGGAGGAAAACCGAGATGATTTCCTTCAGAAGATAGAGAAATTATCAAAGGGAAGCAGAGAAGCCCATTGAGGGAAGCAACTCTCTCTGTCCTGTTCCACTTCTATGATGAATTATTGGCAGAATTCCAATGAAAATGATAATGATGTGATAGCATTTTTAAAATAAAGTTGTTAATTATTTTTTAGTAATATTTAAACCTTCTAAGATAAATCTGTTACAGTTAGGATGACAACATTTTCTGGAGTATGGAAATTAGCATGACAAACACCATAAATTGTCAAATTGCATATAGTACGGGCATTAAAATGTGGCCTTTTGGCCAGCTTGTACTCTGATTATTCACTTTGACTGCAACCTTACAATCCAGTGCTTTATTTTGTATTATCTTGCAATTCTATTAAAATGGTGTTGCTTCTTGATGTGGTAATCAATACAACTTTGAATAAAGAGTTTATTAGACGGCAGGCAAAATAGTAAAAAATACATCCCCGCCTTGTTCAGTCCCACAACAGCAAATCTCTTTCCTGAATACAGTGGCTGCTGTGACGTGTGGGCATCTCCTAAAAACATTTTGTTTTACCTATTGATTGGGACCTACGGAACTAAGGCTGCAAGTCAATAAAAATTTAGGAGAACTCCTGAGTACAGTTAGAGAAAATGGCTTACTTGATCTTCCTAAAAAGCTCCTTTCTCTTTCTCGAGAACAGAGAGGTTGTACTGTTGAGGTAGGTTGGATTCAATTAAAAAAAAAAATTCTAGAGTGTAGTGTTGTATTTCATTTGATATCCAGCTCTTGCTCTGCCCTCATACACCTCTATTCTTCTTATCCCAATGCTCCCCTGTGACTGCATGACCTTTGCTTCTCATATTCTGACTATGCGTCCAAATATCATCAGTTCCATCTTGTTCCCTGACTGCCTCCCTTGCACGGAACTGCCTCTCTGACCTCTTTGAGGCTGCCTTACTATCTTTCCTTAACCCTCCCGTTTCTGTGAAACATTTGAACAACTCCGTAGAATTCAGCCCCTGCAATACAGGAACCTAACTTTTTTTACTTTAGGCAGATATTAATTTGTCCTTGAAAGTTTTTTGAGAGCCGCTATATAAGCCACGTATCACTTGGGAGTACCATGGCACAGGGAACTCCTCTTAGATGTCTCTGAGATCCCAGAAATAAGTTAATTTTGAGTTTTTGAAAATGGCTGAACTGTGATGAGAAGGTCAAATCTCACCAGATGTAAGTCTTGAGATATTTGGTGATCTCATGAGATTTGTATGTGTGTGGATCTATGCACCTCTATTTTGGCTTCATAAAACTCTGTTCTGAGCAAGGAAAGTCATTCCAATATCATTCTGAACCCTGCAAGCCACTCCCTGTTTTGGAATATTTATTTCCTGAAAGTTACAAATATCTCCCCCCACCCAACCAGATGGTCAGATTGAAATCTCCCCAGACCAGAGATTGGGAACTATTGTCCTACAAAAAAGTATGGATAACACAGAGTAGATTAGCATAGACTAAGACTGTAGAGATTGAGAATAAAACCCCTACTTAGCCATAAAGTTCAGTTTTAAATTGGGCCATTCATACTCTTTGAACCTAAGGTAGTCTTTTGTTGATTAAAAGGAAGTATGCTGATTTGAGATTCTGAGGAAGGGCAGGGTAAAAATCCCTTTCAGGTGA